GAGTGGCGAGGAGATGTGAGAGAGAGTGTGACAGAGGGAGGGAGGAGGAGGACGGTAGTGGGGTGTATGAGGAGGTAAGAAGGGTGAGATGGGGAGTGGGGGGGGGCGGGGGGGGAGGAGGGAGAGAGAGAGAGAGAGAGAGAGAGAGAGAGAGAGAGAGAGAGAGAGAGAGAGAGAGAGAGAGTAAGAGAGTGAGAGTGAGAGAGAGAGAGAAAGAGAGCAAGAGAGTGAGAGAGAGAGAGAGAGAGAGTAAGAGAGTGAGAGAGAGTAAGAGAAAGAGACAGACAGAAAGCGAGAAATAGACAAAGAGACAGAAAGAGGGAGACAGAAAGAAAGCGAGAAATAGACACAGAGACAGGAAGAGAGAGACAGAAAGAAAGCGAGAAATAGACACAGAGACAGAGAGAGGGAGACAGAAAGAAAGCGAGAAATAGACACAGAGACAGAAAGAGAGAGAGACAGAAAGAAAGCGAGAAATAGACACAGAGACAGAGAGAGGGAGACAGACAGAAAGCGAGAAATAGACACAGAGACAGAAAGAGGGAGACAGACATAAAGCGAGAAATAGAAAAAGCATACCACTAGAGACAGGCAACAGGTGGATAAAGCAAGCAGCACCCCCTCCTTTCAGCCATTCTTTGGCAGGAAGTTGCCCACGTGTTGACGTGGTTTTTTTCCTTGTTCTTACAACCCTTCCCTGCCCTTCTCTCCCCACTAACCACCCCACCCCCCTTATCACCCCACTCCAGTTTTTCGCTCTGCCTTACATCTGGTTTTGAGGCAACTTGCACAAGGCTAAGGATTTTCCGAAGCCATCCGAGGCTCCACTCTGGAAGAAGCGAGGAGGCGGAGCTTCGCTGTTCGATGATTTCTCTCGCAAACGTCATATCACGAAGCATGCGAAAATCCCATGGTAGCGAAGAGTTCGGCGTGGAAGGCACTCGTGTTTTCCTGTGCTTGTCGTGCAGTAGCGATTTGCCAGGGATATTCTCGGAGGCTGTGCCCTCTTCCGAAACATCGGTAGCAGCAACACTAGCCACCACCCGAGAGCCTCCCAGTGCAGCAGCTGCTGCAGGGAGCAAAGTGTTGCAAGGGTTGGGGGGGGGAGGTGGTGATTTGCTGCTGCTGTGGGGGGTTGTTTCCTGGAGAACTCCGTCTGGCAGGGATGCGTCTGGTTTCTGCAAAAACTGCGCACAAGACGATGTGACGCACAAACAGCCAAAACGAAAATACGCTGAGAAGTAGCCGGCACAAAAGGGGGGCGGCAATAGCTCATGGAGGATGGAAACGCTGCTGCAGAAGAGTCAGCGGAAGCAGATGCAGAGCAGCAGCAGCAGCAGAGGCTTCTGCAGGAAAGACAGCAGCAGCAGGAGCAACAGGAGCAGCCGCGGAGAAGAGGCTTCCGCAGAAGAGACAGCAGCAGCAGGAGCAGCCTCCTACTGTTTGAAGTTGCGTGTCGGATAAGGCTGAAGGAACGCTGCTGCAATCAATCAGAGGAATATAACTGAAGACTACAGAATGGAAAGATAGTGTCACAAAAGTCTTCAAAGGATCTGCAGGATCAATTCCCTGTAGCGTAATCTCTAAGAGCGAAGGAAGCATCGACGGCGCAAACTGAGAAGAAGGCACAGAGAGAGACAGCAAGGCACATATTGCATATACGCATACATAAAATATATATTATATATATTATACGTATATGCAGCACGCACATATACATATATAGCACATATATATACATATATACATATATATATAGATGTAGAATAAGGACACATACACAAGGACAGAGACATACAAATATACTTGTGTGTATATAAATAAATATATATATTATATGTATATGCAGCACGCACATATACATATATAAATATATACATATATACATATATATATAGATGTAGAATAAGGACACATACACAAGGACAGAGAGATACAGATATACTTGTGTATGTATATAAATAAATATATATATTATATGTATATGCAGCACGCACATATACATATATAAATATATATACATATATATATATATATAGATGCAGAATAAAGACACATACACAGGGACAGAGAGATACAAATATACTTGTGTATGTATGTATGTAGATGTGGATGTATATACACAGAGAAAGCACGAGATTCTAATGAAGCCAAGGGCAAGCGAATCAAGTTAAAACCTTGAATACTATGCGCACAGCTTTCTAACTGCTGCGAATTCACGTGGCAAGAAATAAACGACCTATTCGTCTACCCACCACACACCAAAAACACGTCTGATCACGCAGCTGCTGAAAAACTGCACAGGCAGGCAGGCAGGCAAAGAAGAGGCAGCCTCTTTCTCTGCCTGCCTCTCTGCCGCTTCTTGCGAGCAGCTTGCACTATTTGCAGCCGAAGCAAAAAACAAAAGCCACACCCTCACACCGCAACGACATACCCGAACGATTGCATGCGCTGCTCGTGTAAGCATCTCGATCACCACTGTCTGATTTGCGTCTGTGACAGCCTCAAGCGTCTGTACAATCCGCTCAATGAACCTTTCCACACAAAGCTCGGGAGCTAAGTGCAGCAAACATCGCAATCCGTCTTCAAAGCCTGCAGCCGCTTGAGGATTCTTGTTGAACAACCCCTAACACAGCGCCACATGCACATACACAGACATGCACATAGATGTACATATGTATATATGTATATACGTATGTACATATGTATATATGTATAGCGCAAACAAGCCACCGACAGACTATAGGCGTCAAAAGAAAGACTTACCTCCAATACTACGGGCAAGAAGAGTTCTACAATCTTTGCATCATCCTCTCGCGTGAGTCTGTTGCTGCGTGTCTCTCCAAATCCCGCATTGCAGCAACACCAAATTTGCTGCTGTTGCTGCTGTTGCTGCTGTCGCTCCTGTTGCTGCCGTTGCTGCTGTTGCTGCTGTTGCTGCTGTTGCTGCTGTTGCTCCTGTTGCTGCAGTAGACAGCAGCCGCGGAGATGCCTGCCGCATCCAGCGCTTGTGATGGCATCGCCGAGTCTCTCCCGCTGCACCCTTCGAAGATACGCAGAGACGAAGCCTGTGAGAAAGCTTCCGATGTTTCCCGAGCCTCTGTGCGCTTCTGTCTGGGGGTGTACCCACGGTCCGACAGTTTTGACTAACACTTCGAGCAGCTCGAAAGCTGTAAGGATGCGCGGCGACGTTTGTTCCTCTGAACGGGAGGGGGCTGTCTCTGCAGTGGCTGCTGTCTCTGCAGTGGCTGCTGTCTCCACAGTGGCTGCTGTCTCCACAGTCTCTAGAGCTGGGTTCGGCTCGATTCGCGCTGCAGCGGCAGACGCTGCCTTGGCTGCAGCAACGACCTCAGGCGACTGCGATGAACTGCCACCGCTAGCAGCAGCAGCAGCAGGAAGCCTCGCGGGAAGGCTGCTTCTGTCGCGAGGCTCCAGGAGGAGGGCAACGACTTTGGCGAGGATCCTGGGTGCTTCGAGCCGTTTGTGCAGCAGAGGAGACAGCTCTCCTGGAATGGATCCTGCAGATCCTCTGAGCTGCTGCGCGGCTGCAGTGTTTTTTCCGTTGACGACGAAGAGCCGCGAAGCGACTTGCAGAAGGAAGGGCAAAAGAGGCCTAAGGAGACAGCAGAGGGGTCTTCCAACTCCCCACCCATACTTGCAACCCCTCCTAAGGAGACTCAGGAAGACTGTATCCCACGCTGTCTGCGAGGCGCCCTCCAGACAGCGCCACCAGCGAAACAGAAGCCCTTCTCTGACTAGCCAGTGACAGGCGGATCCAGAGGCGAAGAGCAGCAGCAGGCGCGCTCGCAGCGAGACGGAAGTCTTCCGACTGTCAAGCGCCCCCATGAGCGAGCACAGGGCAGCGGGGAGACTCGAGAGATCGATCCGCTCCTCCTCCCCGCGCCACAGGAGAGCTTCGGGGAGGGGAGGAGAGGGAGACTCGCCTCCTGCCAGCGGCGCTGCTCGCGCTGCAGCAGCGGCTGCTGCAAGAGAGGTCTGCTGCTCGTCCTCGCACAGGAAGCGCGCTGCATCGGCGAGTCGCACGAGCGCCGCTACCAGCGTTCTCCTCTTCGCTGATCCTGTGCCTACCGTGGCTCGGAAGCCTCGATTATATCGCTCCAAAAGCCTCAACAGAAGCCACTGCCAAAGCCCCTCGCGCAGTCGCTGCAGCAGAAGTACCGCATCTTCGTGCCTCAGACAAGGCTTCCCCGCCCCTCCTGCTCGCAGCAGCAGCAAACCGCTACTGCCACTCCCGCTTCTGCCAAAGTCTGCTGCTGCTGCTGCTGGATCTGCTGGATCTGGATCTGCGGCAAAGGACGACTCCCCCGGAGACGCTGCAGAGGTCGCCGCGAAGGCGGAGGCTGCTGCCGCCGCAGCAGTCGCAGCGCAGCTGCTGCTCGTGCTGCCGGAGCATGCTTTGTGCAGCTGCAGGAAGGAGGAGCGGCAGGAGGGTTTCAAATAGTACGGCGAAACAAAGCGTGTGTTGAACACGTCGAGCGCCGAGGCGAAAGTCTCACAGAGGCGGGCGGCAAGAGAAGCGCTAATTCCTCCAAAGGCTGCCTTCTCCTCGTCGCAATCCTCGTCAGTCTCTTCCCAAGAGCCCATAAGGACGCGTTTCCAGCCTACAAGGATCGCCAAGTGGTCTTGAATGGAGAGCGCCTCGATGGCTGCCGTGCTCTCGAGCGTTCGCGCCAGCTGCAAGGCGAAGACGAGGCAGCCAGTGTCAGCTCGCAAAGCCTCGGGATCCTTCAGAAATTCCAGCAATCGAACGTGCTGCTCGGCTGTCTCCCCAAGAATAAACGGCGCCACAAACCCGGGAAAATGCAGCTGCGGAACCAACAGATACTCGCACTCCAAGTCGAGGGGAGGAGGCGGCGAGGGCCCCTCTGGGGGGGGCCCCCTGTGAACAGTCGCCGACGGCTCCATGTACCCCCTTTCTCAGATGCGATGGAGGCGTTCTGGCGGGAAGGGGAGGCTGCTAGGCTCGATATCTCCAGTAGGAGGGCACAGCTCTGCCTCTGAGGATGCAGGGAGGGAGGGGTGAGCGCGCGTCGTTCTGGTGGCTGCTTTTGCTGCTCGTGGAGCGTGTCTGCTCGAGCAGACGCCTGCTACACCCCAGTGCCTGACACGGGCTCTCGAGAGCTTTCGGGAGGAGGTGGAGTCGCGAAAGGCGGCAAAGGAGAAAGCCACAGAAGGCGCGTTGTCGTATGTGCAAGGGGGCCAGACTGCCTGCGATCTCCCGCTCTCTCCTGCCACGGGGAATTTGTTATGCGGCTGTCGGGGGAGAGGAGCGGTGTTCAGCGGCGTCTTCTCTTGATTAAGAAGCTCGCAGCAACACACGATCGCTGCTAAGAATCGTATTCATGAAGGAATAGACACAGTCTTCCTCCTGCCCTGGTGCTGCAGCCTCCCAGCGGCCGGCTGGCAGTTCGCTGCTGCTGCTGTACGCTGTTCATACGTTGCTGCAACCCTGCCTGGCTCTCCCTCCCGTCATTTGGCTTGCTCTTCTAGTTTTAAACTGCTCGAAACCTTTAATCCACCCCAAGCCGCTTGAAAAAAGCCGCTGACTGCGTGTGCAGCCCCTACGCAGACCGAGAGGACTCGGAGCGATTGCGCGCAGTCACAGGGTGTTTCGAGATGAGCGCTGGGTGGCATCTCCCATTCTGCGGCTGGATCTCCGCATAAATTGGGTGAAATCCTTCTTCTCAAAGTTTATTTTGGCAGTACCCCACGCATATTTGCCTCTTGAGCGCGCAGCGATCGCGATGTTGCCTTGGCCGCGTGCCGAGTTGTATGCACACACACACACATACGCATGAACACATACGTCCATGCACAAACGCAAATTGCGAAAACCGCTGCCGCTGTCTGCGGAATAGGCACTAGTCTCCACTAGGCAATCCCCATATCCCGTCTAAAGGGGGCAAGCGGAGTCGTGAGGGGCGTCCTTAGCTGCAAGAATCGCGCGTTCTCTCCCTCCCTCTCTCGTCACGTATAGGAGCCCAGCCCAGAACACATATGCAGCTGCTCCCCTTCCTCTTCCTCTAGCGCTCGATGGCCATTCTTCTGTGTAGCTGATACGTTCCGCTCCAGCTCATTTGTTCAGCATCGAAATATTATCTTGAGAAAAGAAGCCGTCTCTCTCTCCAATCTGCCCCCAACCACCGGCGTCTGCACTAAGCTTTCCCCGCTGAGCGAAAGCGGGGGATGCTAGCACCCCTTCCGCTAAGGAAGCGTCTCGACTCAGCAACCAGAAAGGCCGTGCATGTAAGGTAATGTGTGAAACTGTGGGTGCCGGGCTTCTACAAAGTGTTCCTAGGGAGGCGACATTTGAATCTGGAGTTTTCAACAGTTGACAGAAAGGGCTTTTGAGCCATTACTTCCACATACTAACCTGCCCTCTTCATCCCTTGATTGCGCGCGCCTCAGAATCTCCGACATATGGAGAAAGGACCACTAGAACCTCCTTAGCTGCACACTCCAAGCATCCCCAGCTACCTGCGCACACGGATTCTAGCGCCGGCTGCTGCACCCTTGTGCCGTGCTCTACTGCGCTAGCGGCCCCGTATAATGCACAAGAGTTGCGAAATACAGACAAACCAACAAGCCGATCCTGTCCTAGGTGGCAGTTCCATGATAGGTGTTGTGGAATAGAGTGCTCGCTACAGGAGGGGGGTGGGGGGCCCCTCTTGCCCGTGAACTTGAACTAACAGGTCTGTGGTCCTTGGCTGAGCTCTTAGACAGGCAACGCAGATGCTGTTTGGCAGCCTGCCAGCCAGTGATCCTCTAGGGTGTAACAACAGCTGCACCCTATGTTTTAGGCGTTCAGACACCCCCCCTCGTCTCTCTCTAGCACCCAGAACCTCATGAAGCTGGAAGCTATGAGCTGCGGCAGCTTCTCGGGGGCGAGAAGGGAGAGGCCGACGTCTTTCTTTAGAACCCTTTTTACGGAAATCCTATCACGGAGGCCGTGTATATACAGACACGGGATGCACGGAAGGCACCTCCTACGCTGGATTTAGCCCCTTAAAACAGCGCGCATGGGGGCTGGCTGTGGCTGTACCAGTGCCACGAGAGCAGTTCAAGTGCGCGTTCCAGTGCTCCTGTGTTTCCACCAAGTCTACAGAAAAGCCGCCAAAACAATCCTGCACTAGGAGCCGACCAGCTCTTCAGGAATCGCCCTTCTCCAAGTTGTAGCTGTTGGCGGGCGATCATGGGGGCAGCTTCAAGCGACGAGGGCCATGCGTTTGTATCAACGATCAGGGAGGCGCGGGGTGTACCGACACACACACAGGCCTCTAGCCCTTTGAACAAGGGGAAAGAGCCTCGTGATTCTTCCCAGGAACCACTCTCCTTCGTGCGCAGCGCTGCAGCCGCCCTCTCTGAGCTGAACGCTTCTGGAGTTCTCCACGAATAGGTGGACAGCCGACAGCCTTCAGCGTCGCAAGGGTTACCCTGTGCCCGCATCTTGCACTAATGAGAGAGGGCAGCAGCTGCAACAAGCAGTAGCGTTTCGCAGTGCCAGAGCCCCCCTTTTATGTGGGAATGCCGTGTGCGCTCGCTAAAAAGCCAGCAACACCCGCCTTTACCCTCTCCTTCCTCACATGCACCGCCAACTAGGCCTTGTTAGCTGCTACAGCCAGAAAGCTGCCTAAAAATCCCCTTGCAGCAGCAGCACGGCGTCGAGACAGCATGCCATACAGCGGCACGCACTCCACCCTACCCGTGCAAGCCTCTATAATTCTTTGCAGTGGGGCGGCAGCAGCGCAAGTGCAGCTGAATTTCTGTGCGTATCTCGTAAGCCCATTCCGAGAGGCACCAGTGTAGCCTTTCCAATTCAACCTTCGACACACACCACCTACAGTATCTTATCCCTGGGTGCCCCTGCAGTCCCTCTCCCTCCTGGGAACCCTGCGGGGGAATGTTGAGCGAAAATCCTCGCTTTCAGCAGCAGCAGCGAGCGAACGGCTGCTGCCAGAAGGAGACGTGTCTCTAGGAATCCTACCACTACTGCTTATGAAGTAGTCACAGCGGCAGAAGCGCCTCTTGGAGTATCGAGACTCGTCTACAGCGCAAACCTCTCCGTTTGTTTCCCTCGTGCGTGCAGCAGCAGGTGCCTGGGAAGCGGTTGGGGTTGTTGGGGAAGCCTCGAGAGGCCTCCTCCGGCCCAACCGAGACCATGGGTAAAACGGCCTGTTCTTCTGACATGGCTTGCAGTGTCTATACACTTCGAGAGGCCAAATTTGCGGACTGCCTAACACACCCCACACGCGGGGCAAAAAGGCGTCCATGCGACGGACCATTCTTTGGGGTGTTGCTACCACGACAGCGTCATTTGGAGGGATTTTCCTTCACGAATTTTAGGGGGAGAAACAACAAGCCAAGCCCCCAGCCGGCAGAATCAGGCACCTCCCCCCGCGAGGAGCTGCGGATCACTGTAGTTTCTCAAGAAGTATTTAAGGTGCAATCCCAGCTCCGCAGCCCTCCGTTTTGGATTCGCTACTGCATCCGTTGGCGACTGAAACTGCGCCTTCTCAGCAGCAACTCCGCCAAGCTGCCTCTCGAAAGCTTCCTCCTCAGTAGGATAAAAGCCTTGGGCAGACCCCCAGTAGAAAGGCACTCGACTGCGCTCGGGGATCGCCCCTACTTCGGCAGGTGTGGGGAGCTCAGCCTCGTTGAAGCCGCATCGCCTCAGCCTCGAGACAGCATCGCCGCAGTTGGGGAGGTGCTGCCCCCTACCGTCGCAGTCTTTTTCTTCGAACGCCAGGCCCCTTGCAGCAGCGGCTCCTCTCCGGGAGGGAGCAGGAAAACCCCTCGCCAGCGTGCCGTCGCCAAACCGCTTCACCTCAAAGGGGGTGTTGACATCCACGAGATGCAGATGGCGTCCTTTGTGAGCTCTGCACACGAAGGAGGTGGCGAGATTACGCCTTCCGACGGTCTTCAGCGGCGCAGATTCTTGCCGGCAGGGAGGAGCAATTGCAGCGACAGATCGGGCGGGAAGGGCCCCTCCCTCCCCCTGCAGGGGGAGGGAGGGGCCCCCTGTCTCTCGGGGAGGCTGCAACGCCGCGTGGCTGCATGGCTCGGTAATGCGAACTCGCCAAGGCTTCCCCAGGGGTATTCCGAAGCAATTTTCTTCCTCCTTTCTCGAGAGACACTTCAGAGCGACATCAAAGTTCGAGCTTTTCGCCAGAGGCTCCTCATCCTCCTCTGCCTCCCCCTGCTGCGGGGGGTCGTCTGTGCGGTAGGGGGGGTTGACACGTGGCAATCGACTTCTACTGCCCTTGTCTCCTCGAGCATTTACGCCGAGGCAGGAAGCGCTTCTTTGGGACCTTGTGTGAGGCTCTACCGAGCAAGACTTCTTGAGGACGCTTCGCGGTTGGGGAACTGTGGGGATGCTGTGGAAGAGGGCAGAGGTTGGGCTGCGACGACACGCCTCACACACACACAGGGAGAAATGCTTCGTGGAGAGCCTGCTGCTGCATGCGTAGTCGCCGTTTGAAAAAAATGGCTTTGCGGGGAAAGACGGGGGGAGAAACAGGCACAGCGTGGGGGAGAGAAAGGGGACTGCCTCTGGCGGCCATACATCATCTCGCAAGAAAACCTCACTGGCCTCTTTTTATATCATCAAGAAAAAACCTCTTCAAAATATGAAAATACGGAAAGAAAAGGTCAACCTAGTCTAAGAAGGGCTCTCTCTTTCCATTTGTGCTGCAAATAACTCTACGTTCTCTCCTGCTTGTGATACATGTATATATATATGTATGTATATGTGATTGTTGATGGCGGCTACTATACTACGGCTTGCATACTCCCACCCTCTTCGGGCCCCCTGTCTTCATCTCGCTGTCTATCTGTGATTTTGTCTGTCTGTCTGTTGCATCCTCTCTTACTCGATTCGTCTGCTGAGTGGCTGGCATGTGTCCTCGTCCCCCTCTTCCGAAGCATCTCCCTCCTGGTTCGCGAAGTCAAAGGTTTCTCTGTACGTGTTCGACAGGCGAGTAGAAGTGGGGGCCCTTGACAAGGTAAAGGTATACGGGGGAGGCAGCAACAAAGTCTTTCTTTCGAAGCACAGCGCGTCGAAAGCCGCTCGACTCCCTCCCCTCTGCGGTGGATCTCCCGCCGCAAATGAAAAGGTATTGGGATACAGACGGGCCAAATCGAAGCGGTCTAAGGGGTCTTGCATCATCGTGAGACAGCTCCTAAAACGAGGCACTTGCTTAGTCCCTGCTCTTCTCCGGTGTACGTTGCTGCTTCCAGGGCAGTGCGTCTGATGACGGCTGGTTGCTGACTACACGGCTTGTGCAGGGGAAAACGCGGAGCTCGCACTGAAATGCCTCTGAGGGGAATAAATGTGTGCAGATGGCGTTGAAAAGGTCTTCCTGAAGAGTGTGGCTGTGGCCGCTGCCGCTCTAGTCGTTGCTGCTGGTTCTACTCGACTGCTTCCGCCGCGGCAAGCAGGCAGAAAGTCGGGGCAAGTCTCCACTTTTCCGGGGCCAGTCTACATTGGAAATGATTTTTTAGCCTCCAATCCGTGTTCTGGAGCTCAGATTTGCAGAACCAGCAGCAGCAGCAGCAGTGGCAGCAGCAGCCTGCACCTTCTTTCAAAACTTGACCCCGTCACACACTGACCACCGGTCATATACAGCAGAGAGGGGAGCGATGCTCACCTTCTCAGACGCCCCTGCGAGATTCTTCCATAATACCACAAACTCTAAAGCCTCACAATTTGCGTTCTAAGCCTTGAAATGACAAGGAAAATCGAATCAAAAAGAGAGAGGACAAGATGCGGTCTGGAAGGCTGCCGTCGCACGGCACACCCGACGAGACCTACGCGCAAATTAGTTGGCTCGCCCTCCTTGTACTATTTGTCCCTTGCATTTCTTTTTTGAACCGAAACGCGTCTAATCGTGGATGCGCATCTCCTTGAATCTAAGCCGCCGCGAGCCTTAGAGCCGGCTCTCCACGCCGCAAAACATCTTTCGGAGGGACGAACGAGAAACCAACACGACAAGCTCTGCAGGCGGCGAGCGAGCACAGTCTTTAGACGGCTCGCAGATTATGGGCATACGAGTCGCTCCTGTCTCTCGAGACGGCGGCTTGCGCGAGAGAGATGCACAGGTTAAGAAATCCCACTTGCGCCTTAATTTCGAAGTGCTAATTCTGCACGAAACTCAGGCTCCCTTGTTCGTCTAGACAAGGAAGGAGATCCTTTGCGCGAGGAAGGGCGACCAGAGAGGCCCTATGCTGCAAATACCATACCACCTTTGCCCCTTCCTACTGCACATCTCGCTTAAAAATGCCCCCTCTCTCTTCTTGGTGAAAGCTGCTCAACAAAGAGGGGGGCTGAGCCTTCTAGGCTTGCAGAGGGGCAGCAGCGCTCTCACTTGACAGCAAGGCGAGCGAAAGGAACTTGACTGGCATCCCCCCTTCCTTGCTGCCTCCAAATGCGCCCTGTGAGCCGCCTCGAAAGAGCTCTCAAAGAAGCGCTGTTTCGTGCTTAGGCATTTAGAGGAGGGGCACGAGGATTTTAAGCCACCTGGAAAACATAAACGGGGAGACACCTCCTCCAGTGCTAAGAGTACGACGGCGGAGGGCCTCAATACTGCGGTTAAGGCGGAAGGCGACGTATGCTGAGGCAAAGCAACGCATGGCTACCGACTAACCTCGAAAAATCGAAATTTTTCCAGTGCCTCTCCAATATCCCCCGATATTGCCAAGTCCATGTGGAGCATGTGCGTCGTCCAGATGCAGCCTAAAAGCTCTAGAGTTTACGATTATACCTCGAGAGTCGCCAGGGAATGTCGCTAGAAATCTAGAGATCTCCTTTGTGCCGCTGCTCCTAGGGCAGTGCAGCTAGCTGCTACCTGGCTGCTCTGAAGAGCAATACTCAAGCCGTTTTCCCCCCTCGCACTAGTGATCGCTCAGAGCCACCACCTCTGGCTTGCAGCCACCACGCCGCTCGACAGCTAGCGCGGGCACGCTAAAGACTGGCAGCTCCTCGCCTTTTTGCCAGTAGCCAAAGCCACGGAGTTGTCACGCACAGTGAAGGCGGAAGGCGTCTTGGCGAGCAAGCAGATGCTGACTTGCGTCTCTTCTACATGGTAGCACTTGAGAGGGCCCCCGTGGACGGCCGCTCACCGCATGCTCTCTGGCTCTCTGCCAAGCTCTCCGCTGCCTCTTTGCCCTCCCCGACTAGCTGCCTAAGTAGGAGCTTCAGGGGGGGATATCCTGTAAACGGCGATACCATGCTCGTACAAGCGACTGCCAGAGAGTGCCTTACAAGAAAGGCCTCTCGCATTCGTGTTTTGCTGCGCCAGAACGAGGCGCCTGTAGTCTTTCTGAACGGCAGCATATCCCTCCGGCCTTCTTATCGCTAGTCGTGCTTCTTGGCTGCGGTCGAGGCGGAAGGGATGCAGGTTAGCTTGATGGGAAACTAAGGCAGCCATTAGAAAAAGCAATCATCAGCCAAGGGGTCTAGCCCTCTTTTCCAACTGCCCCTAGAGCCTCAATTTCGCTCCAACTCTAGGGCCTCTTTTTATCTCTCGCCGCCTTTTAGCTCTCGTGTCTCTCTCCCTGTCTCTCTCCCTGTCTGTTTCTCTCTCTCTGTCTGTTTCTCTCTCTCTGTCTCTTTGTCTCTCTCTGTCTCTCGCTCTCTCTCCACTGGTAAATGGTGGCGAAATAGGGCGCTGCTCGCACTGTTCTGTGCGCCGTTGGCGCGGTCTACGGTGTATATACACTGGAAAGAGACCAAACGCGTGTTAAGCGACAAGGGAGTTGTTCTGTAGGTATAGAGTCCGGCCGCAGCAGCCAATGCTGTCTGCAAGCAGGAGAGAAGATGTTCATTGGAAAAAATGCACCCTTTTGGCCCCGTATGTTGTAAACCATTCTTTTCCCCTCCGAAGTGGTAGTTACAGCTCGTCGTGATCTGAAGGATGGCTGCCCATTCCGCTCAGCATCGGAGGCTTCCGGAGCTTCTCTGGAAGCTGCAGTCCCCCAATAACTCTGTCAACGAACTGCTCTATCGCCGTCTTCGTCAAGGGCGGAGGAAGCGCCTGCATGTTGGCAGCAGAAACACGGCAGTGCACACATGCACTGCTGGCAATGATCCCCCCAACCGTATGGAGACGCGGAGACAGAGGCAGCAGGAGGCATCCACAGAATCGCGTCCCTAAAAACACGAGGCAGCGACTCGACGACTGCGCCAGTTTCAAAAGCGACGCGACAAAAGTTCCTCATCGACGCTTCCACAGAACGCGCGTGGTGTACAGACACCGCAAGACTGACCAGATAGCGCTGCCTCTTTGGCCTGTAGGCAACGAGAAGCTCGGCTTTGCTGCCGGGAGCGAACCCAAAGGCCGCCGCAAACTCGGGCTGAACACAAATATGTGCATGCATGCAAGAGAAAATACACAATGCGCGGCAGCTAGGCAGGAGTCTAGCGGCGACAGCAGAGAGGGCTGTACAGACAGCATGGCTCGTCGACGAGACTGGCACACAAGGGAGGCCGATCTGTGCTTTTTCGAGAGGATCGGTTTCAGGGCATATATATATATATATATATATATATATATATATATATATATATATATATATATATATATATATATATGTAATAGACACCTGTTTGTCGGCAGTTATGTACACCAGCTTGACGGGATCTGTCTTGTACTTTTCGGCAAGCTCCTTAAGGGCACTGTACGACTCGCGAGCTGCACCCCACGCCGCTGTCTTTGAGGGCAGCAGCAGAATGAAACAAAACTGCGAATGGCGAGCACCTCACACCCCGCAGGCTGCCAACCGTGCAAAGCGAGAAAGATAGGGGAAAAACAAACGAACAACAAACGCATGCATGCATGCACAGAGCGCGTCTGTCGATGCGCTGTTTCTTTTCAAGGTCAAAAGGCGCACAGCACTCACAAAAAAAAGGCAGCACAGCACAGCACGGGCAGGCACGATGCTCGCTTGCTCACATGCAGGCAGAAAGGCACAAAGATCCTCTACCAAAAACCCCACACCTGTGTCTTGAGGACCTCCCTTGCCATACGCGCATGCTGGGTAGACACAAGAGATGCATCACTAGCCAAACGCCTATCTGCACTTCCAACCAAGCTTACTTGGGTATCCTGAGGCATGCATTCTCCTGCTCGCATTCGGCGAGAAGTCAGAGCATGCAGCGGAGTTACACGCGGTAAAAGTGCCTGCAGCAAGCGGAGAAGAAAACAGATGAGAGAAAGAGCAGTAGGGAAAAAACCAATGCTCACAAGGATACACACGGCGGCATGCACGGCTTTTAATAATAGTCATACACCTGTGGAATAAGCCTCGATGTCTAAAGATCTAGCTGTATCTCGAGGGCATTCAGACACACGTAGACAGATCCACAGGGTTACGCATTGAGAAACTTGCAGAGGTCAGCCACACGGGCAGACACACAAATGCAGGCAGCACGCGATATGTGCATGCATATGTATGGAGGCAAGGAGGGGTGAATATGTAGGCGTGCATGCAGGTCTGGGCGATATTTATGTCTATGTATGTATGCGTGTGTGAATGCATACACACATACATGTGCATATATATATACACAAGCGCATGTAAAAAACGCGCATGCAGCACTCGGCGAAAGCAGCTACGCAAGCTGCGCCCTGTGTCCATACACCAGAGGACGGCAAGGCAGCAGCTGCTGCCTATGCAGGGGGGTGGGGTGTTTGCTGCTACATCCACCGCAAGGAAAGGCCAGCAGCGCTTCTTCGAGGCAGTCTAGAGCGGTGCAGTTGCAGCAGTCGCTTCATCCGTCTCAAATCTATCTGTAGAGTGCAGACTTTGAGGAGCCAGTGGTCACTAGCATCCCCCCGAAGACGACAACAAACAAAAGGAGCGACAAAGCCCCCAAGGAAAACAAAGAGAGGGGAACGAAGCGAGGCGCAGACAGAGCAGCAGACTGCTTCGTGCCTTACGTGGTTCGACACCGAGGCTAACAACGAGATAAACTGCTGCGCTTCGAGACTGCGAACTTTCCTCCAATCCCCTTGAAGTGTATCAATGTCTGTGAGCGCAACGAGACTGGGAACGTCCAGATACGTCACTGAGTGCCCCCCGTTCATGGCTGTAGGTTCCGTGAAATAAGTCGCAATCAAGTCTTTCTCCGAGGGATACACGATTCCAATATCCAGCTTCTGCTTGAAAAGAAAGCCTCCCAAATACCACTCCGGAGGAGCAGGCTTCTTTCGCGAGAACAAAACGACCTGAAGCAAGCACAAGCACCCCCACGCTTTGCCAATGCATGCGTGTTTCGCCGGACGACGCCATGAAGCAAGAAAATCGTCTCAAACCCTCCTTTTTCATACCCGCAAAAAACAACCCCCTACCTTTGTTTTCGTGGGGTTGCGAGTAAGCCAGTCCTCCATGTTTTCCAGCGTAAGGGCTGTGTGGTGCGTAGCCACTCGCTCGCCGATAAAATTCAGAATCGCTTCAAACTTCCTGTGTCGCACACATAGGATGCGCCCTCATGGAGAGGCGATATCAGGACCAGCTAGCCGCGAAAATCTTGCAAACACAAACACACACCCTCCCGCCTGCCCTGCATCTTGCAAAAGGCTCCTCTTGAAAGACAAAGGGCGTCCCAGGAGACACCTCAAATTCAAAAAAAAGAAAATCCAACGCACTTCTTCCCTGTATACAGCATAGGCTCCGCGGATTTATCTGCTTCGAAGAAGAAGATGGACGGGTATCGCTTGCCCTTGCGACAGAGGGGTAGCTGCTTGTGATTTCGGCAATTTATCGCCGCAAACTGCAAACATACAAATAAATATATATATATACATGCATGTACATGTATAGATATGTATATATATATTATACGTACAACAATTCATACATATACACATATGTATATATGTATGTATGTATGCATATATGTGTACACACATATACGCATATATATACATGTATACATATATGCATATATATACATGTATACATATATGCACATATATACATGTATACATATATGCACATATATGCATGTATACATATAGAACAAGGGACTGCCAGGTCCCTAGAGCTTGTAGAGCTCCAACAAGAAGAGAGAAAAGCTTGAAGTTGAGGAGCGACTGTGTCAAATGGCCAAAGGCGGTTGTTTGCACGCAACCAGCATCACGTTTCGACGCCCTCGTCTGTCTCACGTGTCTTTCTGCATGCTGTCAAAGCCTCGCTACAGGTGTCTCTCCTCCCTCTCGAAGTCGCAGCCTTACCGGAATAACGCCCTCAAGCTTCTGCGCCGCGGTCAAGTACTCCATCTTGAAAGCTCTGCACGGCTCGCAGTGGGGGTTGTAGATCTCCACAAGGAGCAGATGGTCTCTTTCGCCAATGAAACGCTCATAGTTTTGCGGATTCAGCTCTTTCACCAAAGGCGCATCATCATAGAGATTTGAATCCAAATCTTGCTCCTTCTTTTGCTGCTGCGGAGGCTGGAAATCCTGGAAGCCAAAGTTACGCAAATACTCTGGCATTTCGCCACTGAATTTGAATTTCGTTCGCTGCTGCTCGCCTCTGCCCGAGCGGCGTTGCCCCCCCCCCCCGCCTCCTCCAAAGCCAGCACCAAACAAATTTCTGAATCGCAAAACCCCCCCACATCCTACAGCACACCATTCTGGGAATCGAGAAGATCGGGAACCACACACACATACCCAAAAAAACACGCGACACGAAGCAAGCCCCCCCCAGACCCCTCCCTTCTTCTTTCCTCATGCCAAAATCAACGTCCACCAGAAATTGAACTATTTTAGGGAGGACAAGACACTTGGCACCCGTAGAACCAACGTATGTAGCTGCATCTCCGTTCCTACAGAGGCACTTCAAACAGACACTCATTACCCTCAAGTCGCAACCCTTCAGTAGGCTGCTGTAGGAGGAAAACGCTTCTCAATTCAAGAACGCGTCCATTTGGGATATATATATATATAAACACATGTAAATATATATACATGTAAATATATATATGTATGTAAATATATATATATATATATATATCTATATGTATATGGAACTATACAACATCTATGTAAATATATATATATATGTAAATATATATATATATATATATGTAAATATATATATATATATATCTATGTAAATGTATACAATATATCTATGTAAATATATCTATGTACATGTGTAAGTATATATATATATATGTATATGTATATGTATGTAGGTGTCTCACACGAATTCGTTGAATGGGAAGGAGCCGCCAGGTGTTGCCCCCGACGTTCCTGACAGGCCCTCTTCGCCGAAAGCATCGTATTTTTTTCGCTGCTCGGGGTCGCTTAGAACCTGTTCACATGTAACAAAACACGCATTAGACCCTTGGTTGGTTGCAAAGCCTTCGACGCTGTATCTTGCGAAAAGGGGGAAGCTGAATCGCGTCGAAAGCGAACCTCGTGAGCCTTGACGACGTCCATGAACTCCTTTTCCTTCCCAGGGTTGACATCGGGGTGCAGCTTCTTTGCAAGCTTGCGGTAAGCCTGCAAAGGCGAAAGAGCAGCCATATTATGACAAGATTCCAGGCCTTGTTGACGTCGGAAACACGCAAAGCCTCGCGCAGTGGGGCCCGTCAGGTTGCATGCAGCAGCCCTATTGGCTCGGGAGAGCTCCACGCATGCCGCACGCCCACCTTGTCAATGGCGCGAGAACTTGCATTCCGGCGGACGCCTAGGAGCTTGTAGTAATCCTTCGACCGAGGCGCTGCGCAGGCAGAATCTCGAACAGCGAAGGTGCAAGCGCAGACTATCAGCACTGACGCGCTGGTGTTGTAGGCACAAAGAGGCGTCTGCGTCCGCCTTATCGACTACCCCACGAGTCAACAGCGAGGGGAACGGCTCCTGCACTCCGCAGCGAGAGTGGGGAGGCGGGGCACCTCGTTTCAAGTGCCTGGCACGCATAGCAGCTCCAAACAAGAGGACCAACACGGGGGAAGCAGCACGGGCATATCCCCGACAAATGGCTAGGAATTAAAAGGCCGTATTCACCTGCAAAAGCTCCAAAAATCCACCTATGGGGGTCGTCGCAGCCTCCCGCAGTGGAGGGGGGCACACCTCCTGCAGCATTCGAGGAAGGAGTGCTGCTCTTCCTGCAAGGAGTCAGAGGGGGGCCAAGTAGCAGGAGCAGCACTGCTGGCAGAAGCGGCACGATCTTCAGCACTAGCCGCCGAAGCCGCGAACCTCTTTCCGCGGGGAGCATCAGCAGACATCAAAGAGCGCGATGTTGCCGTTAAAATTTCGCTGGCGTCGCTGCAGCTGAAAGGAAATGCGCGGCGGAAAAAAGCAGAAGCAACCCGACAGGCAAACGCGCAGCAACAGCGAGGCCAGAGGCTCTCCAGCAGTTGGCAGATGCGCTACTGCACCTGCTCCGTCTCCTGAGCCGTTTTTCAGAGGCTTCAGCGCGTCCGCTGAGAGGCACAAGCGAGGCGGAGGACGTGCCTGTGACGCAGCCCAGGCAGCAGCAGCGCGCAGAGCTGTCAACGCTGATGCTGCCAGTACCCCCACAGCGACAAAATTCGCTTTGAAGTCAAATACGTGGAAAAGAATGCCAATAAGGGGACTCTACAACGGAGCCAAGGGAGCGCCGCCGGAACGGCTGCTGCTGTGGCTGCTGCTCATGAGTTCAGCTTCGGGTGTCTCGTTGTGTTGGTCGTGAGGTTCAAAGTTCGGGATTGGGAATTTGAATTTGTCCGCGAAACTAACAATGGAGTAGCGAGAAAAAAAAGCAGACACTGCAAGTCGCTTAGGCAGCCGCAAAGCGTCATCGTGCAAGCGCTGGCTGCGATTCGTCGTACTCTCCGGTGTATGGACAGCCCAGCCCCAAGCGCTTTCATGGCGAGGGCCCCTACGCTGGTAACCCCCCTGGAAAGCGGATAATCAACCCGCTTATAGCACTTTATAGGATCTAATTCTCACAGGCTGCTCCGTCTTCGTCTTCCAGTATCCCGAGAGAAGCCTCGCTGCACTTGTCCCCGTGCCTCGAAACGCCCTCCTCCCGCAGTAAGGGTTCCCAAAGATCCCCCGCTAGTACCTCTTTTCCCGGAGCCTTCTTATCCTGCTGTCCTCTCCACAAGCGTAGGCGCTACTTCTGGGGATCCGAAGACGGCTTGCCGTTGTCGTGGCAGTCCGAAACGCATGCAGCGCCGGCAAGAGCTGAGGCTGCTTCTGCTGCTGATGCAGCCTCCTCGTCAGGAATGGCAGCGGCTCAAACGCATGAAACAGCGGTAGTGTTAGCAGAGGAGGCTTCTTCTTGCTGCTGGCGCTGTAAGCTGCGACAGACCGGGTGTACAGACATTCGCCGCTATGAACTCTTTGGGGAAGGTGCTCCCTTCCGGCATGGCCCTCCTGGCCAGAAACTCGAAGTAGAGGTGTCTGCGGAGAGCTCAGCAGGTTCTGAGCTTCTTCCTGGCGGTGTTGCTGGAAGCTCCTGCTTCGATGTAGAAGTAAATCTCTGTCGGTGCAGCAGCAGCAGCAGGCGGAGCACCCTCAGAGCAGTGGACGGCGTTGTTGAACCTGGAACCTTTGCATGCACTAGGTCGTCGTATTCTGATTGCGCGGAGTGCAAGGGACTATGCTGGCTTGACTGCGGCGGAGGGCCTGGGGGGGGGGCCCCCCTGTGTCTGCGCGACTTGCTGGGGGGGGCCCCCGATGGCAAGGGTTCAAAGGAGCTGCCACTGCATGCAGTCGCCCTTGGGCGTGTGCTGCTCATTGCAGTCCTTAGAGGCGGATCTCCGGACGCTTTCTTGCAGCAGTACTGCCATCCTCCTGCCGACTTGGCAGCAGCAGCAGCAGCAGCAGCAGCAGCAGCAGGAGGCAGCCCTTACCGGCTTACTCTGGAGGGAAGTGCTCTCTGGACAGCTCTTACCCGTCCCTATTTCCACCAGCTGCTATCAGTTTGCCTGCCCAGCTGTCTATCCAGCACCTTCGCCCTTGCTGATGCATCTGCTGCAGCATCTGCAGCCGACTCAGCAGCAGCAATGCGCAGCGTCATTCCACTGCATGCATTCGTGAAGATTCAGCTTCTCTTGGCACTCCTGCGCTGCAGCACAGCTTGTCTGGCGAGCTTCCACGCTAAGCAGCAGCCTCATGATCGGCAGCTAGCGGCAGACGCGTCGTTTCCAGACTGGGCTCCCCCAGAGGCGTGTGGCTTGCACGCCTTTGTGCGTTGTGCTGTCCATGAGGGGGCCCCCTGCGGCGCTTCATGGGGGCCCCCCGGCGCGGCAGAACCGTCTCAAAAGGAGGACAGAGCTGCTTCGCAGGCAGCAGCAGCTGCTTCGACTTCTCGGGGAGGCGCTTGCTTGGGGTTGCTCAAGGGCCTCTCCTGCGAGCTGCGCTGTTTGCTCGTAACCGGTAAGAAAAAGCCCTTCAACGCTTCCTCTTAGATCCTCGGGAGAGTCTTTGACTGGCTGCGCTTTTGCTCATGAGCACCCAGGCATCGCTCACCCCCCCCCTTTCCTCCGCTCCCTCTCGGGGGCATGCAGACAGCTCGAGAGAGTTCCCTCCAGCGCATGCACGGACTGGATCTAGCGGCGTGGCTTTCTGGTGCATGCTGGCTCAGGGCGCTACACGAAGTTCAGCCGAGCTCTTAGCCAAGCGGAGTGGTGCGTTGATGGGCAAAGAAAGGTAAGCAGGCATGCCTGTTTGTGGGTGCTCCGGGAGAGCTGCTTTCCGGCTAAATCGTCGAGGCTTCCGTCTGGGGTCTGTAAACGCTGCGTTTGTCGCTTTCAGCTAAACATGTCGGTAGAGGAGGCCCTTGGAATACCGTTGCAACGCCTTTTTGGAGCTCAAAGCTTCAAATTTATGGCTGCAGGGAGGTGAGCGTAAGCTTTTTGCGTAAGCCTTTGGCCTCGTGTGAGGTCGCCTTTCTTCTTTGAGCTGCTGCTGCTGCTGCTCCTCCTACTGCAGCTTCTCCTCCTCTTTTTTCTCTTCCCCCACTGCCGTCTGCTCTGCTGGCTCCTGCGCCAGACGCGTTGTGCTGCGTCCCTTCCTTAAACACGCTGTTTCTCTCTACCCCTGCTGCCGTGTCTGTACTCTGGAAACAGTCGCAAGTTCTATTGGTCGCTGCTGTTGGTCGCTGCTGTTGGTCGCTGCTGTTGCTGCTGCTGCTGCAGGGAAGACGCAGACGTTCGCATGTTGGGTGAGGGCCGTCCTTTTGCGGTTTTTCTGGAGCACTGCGAGAGAAATCCTAGCGACTTCTTAAGAGCTCTTCGCATGGACTGCTGCAGCAACAGCAGCAATAGCGGCAATAGCGGCAATAACAAGAGCAGCAAGAGCAGCTTGTCGGAAGAGGGGGTCTTGGCTGGAGCCTCCCTTGGCATTCCTGCTTCTCCCCGCAAGCGCTGTCGAAGGGAAGCAGCAGTTTCTTTGTCGAGGAGCACGACTGCAAGCGATGCTTGCGACGCTATTGGAACGCTGCTGCGGAGTTTACCGCAGTCGGAGGCTCTCAGCAGCCGCTTGCTCCCCTTCTGTTTTAGGGGCCCCCGTTGCAGTCGCACGCAAATCGCCGAGGCCTTGCAGCAGCAGCAGCAGCAGCAGCAGCAGCAGCAGCAGCAGCAGCAGCAGCAGCAGCAGCAGCAGCAGCAGCAGCAGCAGCAGCAGCAGCAGCAGCAGCAGCAGCAGCAGCAGCAGCAGCAGCAGCAGC